CAATGAATAGATGGCAGAAGTGCAGCTCAACAAGGAAAGTCACTGTGAAACAATACACATACACATGGCATTCATTTCCAAAGTTATAACCAAGGTTTTGTTCATCTTTTATATCCGCAAGAACAGATGAATTTACTGCTTTCCCAGTCAATAATTAATTAGCTCTGTTAGAGAAGAATATTTAGTGATATGTTTTCTCTCAAAAACAAGTTGAAAATTGTTGATCACCAGATCATATTTAATGATTGTGTTAAATTATTATTTATAATGCCTGTCATATATAAACCAGAATTTGTTTATGTGGCTTTTAAACTACACAGAACAAATGTAAGCAGAGCTGATTCAGTAGCATAAGAACCGTTTTCAAACCTTTCTGCCAAACTTAAATATTTTGTCTTTTGTTTCGTAAGCTTGAAGCATGATTGAAATTTTTGTGCTTTGAATTTTAAGTGATATCATTGAATATCTGATAATAAAACAATTCTGTTACTAATTACACACACACACACACACATGTACAATCTCTTTCATCATATGTTTAAAACTATGTATTTAGTAAAAACTGTGATAAAATAAATTTAGTACTAAAATATGTATAGTCAAATCACATACAATCTCTTTCATCATATTTTTAAAAACTATGTATTTAGTAAAAATTATAAAATATATTTAGTACTAAAATATGTATAGTCAAATAATCATTTTTCCTTACCTTTAAAAATAATGTACAAACAATTATTAGACTTTGTAAGAATTCATGTCTTCATACATAAAACTTTTGAAAAGTTAAAATTCACCAGCTGATAAAATGCCTAGAGCATTCAGTTAGAAATGTATTTTATTTTTATATAATTATTTTATACATAAATGAAACTATACCTGTCACTAACCAGAAATTTCTGACCAATGGCAGATTGCCCCTTATGGAAAGTGAAATGGAACAAAAACAACTTAATGATTCCCTTGACTACATGTTTTAAATTGCAACACTGTTCTGCAATAAAATTAATGCATTTATTAAACCTTAATACATAATTAAATTGTTTTTCTACAAATTACTGAACCTGTTCTGAATTTCGGGAATGAAAGAAAAAATTATGCATAAACCTTTAATATTTTAATTATTTCTTTATTCAGCAAAATTCTATATACAATATTATTTCTTATTGGATACACTAAGTTGTGACTGACAAAATTAATATATATATATATTCAAAAACTATGACCCACATTATTTATTTTTAAACTTATGGCTTGCATAAACTTCTTAAAGTATTCAATACTACATTATGTCCCATTTTTGAGAATATATATATATATTTCACTGTTATTTATCCTATTCAGAAATAGTACTAACATAGTTCTTACAAAGACACAAATAAGTTAGATTTTTTTACTTCTGGCTGCATGATATAGATATATAAAATAAATTAGAAAAATTAAATGTTTGTGTACAGATTTGAATTGTTGGAAGTAAAATCTAATAGCAACATTAAAAAGTGTTTAATCTGAGACATGAAAATTTTATCCATCCAATAATGGATAGTTATATTTGTAAGAAAATGCAATGACAATTGTTGAGAGGAATAAAACAATAATTCAACTGCTTCTTCCTTTTCTTGCTACTTTTATATTTTTCTATTATCTTATTACTAATAAAAGTTGCCTTTGCACTTACTTCAATTACAACAAAGTATACATAACAGATGAGTAAAATATCAAATTCACAATAAAACTGGCAGAAAATGATAATGAATGCAACATACTTAGGCTGAATTTAACACACACTGCGACAAGACGGCACAGTTCAAGTACTCTGTAAGCTTGAATAGTTTGAAATTTTAAAAATCATTTAGATCAATTGAGTTGACTTGACCTAGCAAGATTTTGAAATTACAAAATATTTGATATTTTTGTAAAAATGCAAGGAAGTAATTAATTTATGATTGTAGAGGGAAAAGACCATTGTAATATATGGACTGATCTTGTTATAATACCGCTTGGCAACAACTAGAATAACTTTAAAACACATCTGATCAATACACAATGTAAAGAACAAGCTTCTTTGTTAGTCAATTAAGCATTGTCTTCCTTTGCAGTAAATATTGTCACAGACAAGAAGATAAATAATATTTTGCTTAATACCTTCAGTGTCACTTCAACTATAATAAAAATAAAGAATTCATATTCAAACAAACAATCTCAAGAGATATAGTTCCCTTGAGATTTTATTTTCTATTCCTTACATCTTATAATGGAAACTGTATTAGACCACATATAAATGTCCACAACATTACTTTACCATCTATATGTATAATAGCCAAATGTACATCTGTCTGTCATGCACTGTATCATCTGTATAGTTAATTGTAGAAAAAAAATTATATATCAAAATACATATTTTCAAGAGTACATTACAGGAAAATTATTCTTTTCTTGCAATTCCTAAAATTTCTTACTGATATCAACATTGATCTGTCATTTTGAATGCTCAACTTGAGAAAAAACTTATTAAAGGCAAGAATGTTTGTCTTTGTGAGGAAATTTCACAAATGAATGAGGCTTCCTTCGTCGACTGACTCAAAGAAATATTTAGAAGATAGGAGTATGAATGAAGAAAACACATAAAGAGAAAAACATGTTTGAGTAAATATTTCTTGTTGTTTGGCTTATATTTATTTTGTTATGTTGGTATTATTTACATACATAATTTTATTATACCATGCTGAATAAATTCATTTGAATTTAACTGAATATCTCCCCTCGACACTTCTTATACATATAACAACTGTTAAAAAGCACTTACTTTTGTAGCAGCCTTAAAGTTTTCTTGAACTCAGTAAAATGACAAGGAATGGTGGCATCCAGTAGAAAAACCTCTGGCAGCTACTTAGTAAAGCTGAATGCACCAATTGCATGAAATACCAAATAATTGTACCAACAATGCTTAAAAACAAATGCAACGCAATTTTCATTCTTGAAATAATACATGGAATGACAAAAAACAGTTGTTAATGGCACACTAGACAATCATATTGCATATACGCTCTGATCCAAGGGGTTTAGTTGATCCACATACTTTATATTTAATCATCACAATGTTACAAAATTAAACTATACCTGATGATGAATAACAATATCAAGCAATAATTCTAACTATATCACAAAAACTAACCTGTTTTCAAGATCAAGGAAGGCTTTTGAATCAGAAATGGCTTTTGAGCACTGGGGAGAATTTAAAGAAACCTTGACTAATTTGTACCCAGCACTATTAAATGACATAGAATTGGCTAAAGAACTCTAGTAGGAAGTACTACTATAATGTAGAGGAACCATTTGAGACATTTATTTGGAACATAGTAAAAACTTGTATATTATAGAACCCTGAAGCTACAGAGAGAAATTGTGAAATGCATAATATCACAATTACACATTTCTTTACGAGAACACTTGGAATGCCACTTTGTTGCAGCTATTGCTGATGTGCTAAAATTTACAAAACAATATGAGCATCAGCAGGAGAATAAACAAGAAGTTTCTAATAGTAAAGTTATTTATGTTGGTACCTAATCTTAGCCAGGAATGGGTTTACTAACTGTTTTTGGTAAGTGATAAAATTTGTAGTTGTTTGAAGTTTTATTTTGAATTTCTGTTATATTTTAATGAATTGTTTTTGTTTGATCCTGGTTGTATATGATAGTGGCATTTTGTTTCAGTCCATTACAAATATAACACAACCTAGTCATGCAACTTATAATCCACTTCAATATATTTTTCATACACAGTGTTGCAATATCTCAACAGTGTACTGTTATATTATACACACACACATATACTACATATTATGCTCAATTCCCTTTCACCAGTATCTACATGACTGTAACAGACTAAAACAAAATGCTGCTACAACCAGGGTCAAATAAAAACACTTTATTAAAATATAACAACAGAAATTCAAAATAAAACTTTCAAACAACTAGAATACAAATTTTATCACTGGCAAAAAACTGTTAGTAATCCCATACTTGGACAGGACTAGAAACAAACATTAATAAACAATAAAACATAAATCTCAATGTTATTAATTTCAATAAATATATCTGTATGTCACTACTAGGGGAAGCTCGTGTCAGTTTCATTATACATACATATTCAAAATCAACCTTTTCTAGCTAGAAGGTGATTTAGAACTTTAATATAACTAAATATTCATAGTTGAACTAATCAACAGAAGGAAAATAAATGAATGGTAAACAAAATCATAACAAAAAAGGTAGAATGTGCTATCTCACAGACAATACATAAAACTCTTGTTACAAAATTCTGAACTTTGTAACAAGAATTTATACAGACAGTATACAATATTCATGACTTAATTCAATCAATAATTCCTTGTTCAAAGTGGCCTTAGTTCCTAGTATTTAAAATCCCTTGTATTGGACAAAAACATTATTTAAAGTATCTAAGTACTTGTCTATGCATAATCATTTCTAACATAACTAAAACAGCTACAACATTTAATTCAGCATTGTTAGAAGATTTTCACATATATATATATATGTAGATATATATCCATTTAAATTGCCATTTTTATAAGCTTAGCCTCCTTCACTCGCCTGGATTCCTACATAAAGCTGACTTTTTATTCTTCAACACTACAATATGTCTTATTAAATAACAAATATGTTAATGAATAATTTTCCCAACTAAATATAAAATTTTATTTGAGTGTGAGAAACCTCTTTAATCTCATAATGCAAAACAGTTAACAGTGCCATTTTTCAGTTTTTATTAACAATGCAAGCTACAATTTTTCACAACCAACATATATAATATATATGGTTTATACATGCACCTTGGAATATTTTTGCATTTAAAATATCTAAGAGAAAATTAAGACGTAAATGTAAATATGTAAAAAATTTCAAGAGTCAGTATCTCAGAAATAAATATATGCAGCCATTCTTAATGTACTGCTTCAGTCAATATAAATCACTTACAAATTGTAAAAATTATACCACTCAATTGAGTAAAAGCTGGATGAATATCTATGACCTGTGTCTTGAGGTGTTCCAACTTACAGTCCTTATCAACTGTGTGGAGTTGATGTCTTTGTGTTCTTGGACATTTTTTGTAAGTGCCATCTGCAACAAACAACAAAAATTAAAGCCTATTGATTAAAAAAATATGTCTGGACTAAAATATCTTGTGTGCAGCAAGAACATCATGTTTCAACAACATACATGGAAGAATTTTACAAGTTAAAAATCCTAATTCGATGTACTTACAAACATTTGAAGTTGAAAGTGTCTACTAATAATTATTGATTTTTACATGTGTGATTAAAATATAATAACAATAAAACATATGTGTACTCTTCCCATTAAAAACAGTATCATTTTGCAGCCTGGTTGGAAATATTATCAGATTACTGAAAACTTCTCAATTCTCATTATTTTCTTCTCATTTTCAGTTCTCTATATGATTTTATTTTGTTACTGTGGCATTTACGCATTATGTTTTGTTTTAAAAGAGACTGAACAGATTACAGGGTTGAATGTTTAAGGAGAGTATAACAGATTGCCCTAAGAAACAGCCTGAATAATACCAATAGCATACCACCTTTCAACACATTATCCAAAATATAAAACTTACTATATTGCTACATTTTTATATGTTTTTTGCTAAACAAATTTCAAAGTTTCATATTTCAGCTTTCATCTGCAGTGTATCCTGAAATATTGAATAAATGGGTAAATAAGATATTTAGATCTACTTAAACTTAAAAGCTTATTATTTATGATATTATTACAGTTACAATTTAAAACCAATTTCTTATATGTATTTTACATGTTCATTTATTCTTTTTCTAATAATTTTACATAAATAAGCAGTTCTTAATATTCTCAAGTCAGCTTATAAAAAAATATTAAATGTTTATATTATTAGACATTTAATATTTTTCATGTCATTAAAATATATAAATATATAAAGCTACTCTTAAGTGTATGTGTAACATTAACTACATGTAACACAAATACATAGTAAAGGTAATACTATAACTGCAGAACAGATAAAAAACTTTTGTACATGCCTACATATAAAAATGTAAAAATTATGAATAGTTATATAGCCTTTATATTTTTAATATATTATTTTTCTTTTTATTACACATAAAACTGTTAAATTTCAATTAGAGTACCAATATTCTTGCCACTTATTGTATAATTCCAGTGTTACAGACGTTTGTTGAAAATTGGCAAAATTTCACATACTATACAAAAATGACAATGCAGATACAAATATATTTCAAACACATATTTAGAATCCCCCAAAAGCAGAAACGAGGGGCACTTCACTAGTATATCAAAATATGTATTTTGCACCAGCTAGAGTATCCCTCCGTTGAATGGGCGAAATAAAAACTTTTTGTAACAAAATATATGAAATTGTGCTTCTATTTGTTTTCATAACATAATAAACATTAAAGGTACAATAAACATACATAAAGGTATCAATACTGAAAAGAAAGACATACCATTTTCAAGAATTATAACAATAGTGGTTACATGGTTCATTCTAATGCCACGAAATATACAACATTGGTAGTTTTTCCCAAATTAAATATGAAATTACATGGAGGATTCCCCACCCCTCATGTCATCCTGTATCAAGTTTGGTGCTGATTGATCAAGAAATGTGGAAACATATAAAGAACAGTTACACACACATATTGATGTTTATTTATATAGATACTACACTTTTTGCACATTTTGATGGCAAACCTATGTAATTTGACACACATTACTTTTAAAACGCAAGATCAATTTGTTTTGGGTAAAGAAGGGTTTCAAAGTTAGAAAGTGCATGATATTCTTGCACTAGTCTCTGGTTATTAAATATCGTCTTAGAATTCCAAGTGTTACAATAATAAGCAAATCTTGGCTTAAAGGCTTCTATTGTATTTTAAGAGTTACTTTATGAAATGTTGTGAACTTTAATGTTCCTTATTAATTTGACTTTCATCATGCTTCGAGCAATCATAATTTTTTTTTATAAACTGTTTAACAGTACTTATAATACTGTAATTACAGTGAGGTTGTGACTATCAGAATAGATATACAGGCATAACATTCGTTTTCCTGTCTTCTTATTTTAATATAAAATATTTGGAAATGTTTCATTTATTGAAATATACATGCAGTTCTACATAATACGTTGGTCAAGAAAGTCGTTAAGTTGCTTTTGCACAATTGGGCCTGCTAGTTTTAAGCCTTTTTCCTATTTTACCTTATCATTAAACGTGCATTTCTAAACTTGTTTTCGTAAAACCATAGCTGTGTTTTCGTCTTGTGAAAGGATCTTCTTCACTTCAATCTCCCACATGGAGCCTCTCACTTTTGGGGATAACTGACCTATTTTTAGACACTATGAAAAATCACTATGACGTTGAAAAGGAAGTTCCTGGAACATGTAAGTGGCGGGATCAATCCAAATGAAGTGTGAGGAATATTGACATCTCAATGGAGAAATGTCTTGCCTGTTAGTCAGCATTAAAATAGTAATCTCGTGTCACATTTGTGTGTGTGTGTTAATCTCGATTAATATAAAGATTATGTACATTTCAAAATTGACATAATCAAAAACTGTTGTTTTCAATTAGAGAGTTTTGATTATGTTCCAGATATATTCACACTCCTATATGCAATTAAAGCATGCATGCACACACACACACACATGTTCTGGAAATGGCCCAATTAAACTTGATAAAGACCAATTAGAAATTTTTTGAAAGTCGAATTCTGATACAGTTGTATATAGTGTATGAAAGTACAGTACAGTACAGTAGATAGCAATTTTTACCAATGATAGGTTAGGTGATGTCTCAAGATTATAGCCTTCCTTGTATTTCAGTGGGATTGAATGGGTAGCGTAAATTGCCCTGGGAAACAACAACTCTCCAGTTTTGAGTATGTAATATGATATTTTCATAGTCTGGAATAAGGAAGCAAATCAGTAGCAACACTCTGGTAGAAGTTCTAATTGAATAAGGGCTAAGAGAAATTTGACAGTCTAGTTTTCCAGCAAAGGCAACCTTCCTTCATGCTAAATAAATACATACACTGTTCTTGTTTTTAATAAAGATTGTTCACTGTGTTTTTGCATATTTGTGTCTAGCTTTTAATTGTATCTATACAACCTGTCTTTACAGTAAACCTAATAGACAAAACTCCAGTCCAGTCAGTGGTTAATGCACCATATTTCCATCATGAAGATCCAGGATTGAAGCTAGGCCACTACTAACACAAGAATAATTTTTTTTCAACTCATCCTCAGAGACAGCAACAAATAAGCAGCTGAAGCATAGAATAAAAACTAGTTCAAGTAGTGTTAGACTAAGGTAACTGCATACAGTGAGTAGGGAAAGTTATATTAAAACCATTCTGAATAAACAAATCAGCAAGTAAAGCCAATATAAATTCATTGTGGAGGGAATGTATCAGAACTACATCTTGATATTGTTTGGTGTTCGTTGATAATGTGATACACCCGGAAACTGATTACATTTTTCTGAAAGGTTATATAGTAGTCCTTCCTCACACAAAATACTTATACACTTAGATCATAAATATGTGTTCAAGTCAGAAATTTAGAATTTCCAAAATCAAAATATCACCTGTATTTAATAACACTGTAAAAAAAAAGGAATATCAATCAACTTAGGAACCAAGACCATCTAGAAAGAGACCTACAACAAGGGATACCCCAACTGTGGTAATCAAAACTCAGTGGCAAAACCCGTCCACACGACCCGAGCAACATATACAAAAGGGATCCCTATTTGGAAAAGCAACACAAGTCATGTGTACACAACTTGCTTCCATAACATATCTACCCAATAGTTTCATACCTCAAGAAGCTGGAAGATCAGATGATATTCATGCTATTTCATACTAAGGCGTACCCGTCAAGTAACCTGATGCAGCAAATCTCTGTGTGATCAGACTGTTGAAATTGGTATTGGAAAGCTGCAATCCTCATACACTAGATGGATATGGAAGGCAATTAGAGAGAAGAGGTGTGCTTTGTACATGACAACCTTATGAATGAGCCTTCTCTAATGGAAATTACACAGCAGGGTTATCTTCAAAATATATGGTCGTCAGAACACGACCGGGCGTGGCAACATAGATTGTAATGGCGTGGTGAATATTCAAAATTGTTTTAATATAAAATATTCAAATTTTGTTGACTGCTAACCATGAAAATGAGTAACTTTAGATATATTTTTAGCTAGATTTTTGAATAATAGTTACATGTATAAGATTTTCATTTTCTCAGACGTTTATTGAGAAAGCAGCTGTAGTAATAATATCATAAATTAGTTATCTATATAGTTATGGATTATTGTTTAAAATTTAATATTCCATGTAGTTGCTGCTTTGTAAACTGTTAAAAAAACACTTATGTCTATGAACAGAATGATCATTACAACCTTCTGCTACTTATATTTTTAAGAAACTTGAGTGCAGACTTAAGTTCAACATCCAGAACGTAACGTCCAATACACCCTTCATTTCTCGTCTTAACTTAGTCCTAACCGAGTCAACTGTTATCAATAATTTTATAAGTTTATCTGAAACAATAATAAATTTAATATTTTGACGTTTCAATAATACGTAAAAATACACTTGCTAAATACTAAATGGCTAGAGATAAATCAATAGTTTAAAATACCAATCTCACGTTTATAAATGATACTGTTTAATTACAGAATTGATATTTTATACATATACACTTCAGTGATTTGCGTTTCTGAGTTATGGTTGATGAGGTTATTACACTAATTCTTGTCCAGACGTTCAATGCTGCAAGAAAAAGACAACCGTAAACATACCATACTAAAAGTCACGAATACCCATGTCAAAACACATTTAATATAAATAAGTAAGAAAACACTACTAACATGTTTTTACTAAAATGTAAATTTACCTTCATTACCAGCAAGTAGTAAGGCTTTGTATATATTTTTGTTCTTGTGTTGATGGTCCAAATTACTAAGACTAATAATGAAAATTTTAGTGGGTATCAGTCTTCGTTGCACTCATGAATAGTTTTTTAAATGACCGTGTTCAATTATAA